GAGCCCTCTGCCTTGCATCAACGCTCTTTTTCTCTTTAAACTCTCTCAAGATTAGGTACTTGCAGCTCCATCATCACATGGAGAGCAGCAGGGAGAATGGCTTTCAGAAGCATTTTCTAGTATGTTGTCGACAACTGGACAGTCATCGCAGGAATTCTTCTGGGCAGTCTCGTTAGCCTTGTCACTGGACCATTTTTATTTTCCGTTTTAATCGTTAATTTTGGGGCTCACAGCATTACAGCCTATCCGAAACTTCAGAAAGTCTCTGTCTGCCACAGACCTCACTTCATGTGAAGGATATTTTATTTACGTTTTGTTGCTGTGCAACAATGATACTATATGGTGAGCTCTACATTTATTACTGTTGCTGTTTTTTTCCTTGGGGAAAAATGTCCTGCAGAAGATAGGCTAACATTGCAGCATCTGATATAATCTGTGTGTACTGTAAATGAATTGGAAATGTAACTTTACTGTTTGTGCAATGTCCTTAAGATCTACATGTCTGACCCTTTTAATAGGTATTTTTGTGCATTGTTGTAATTATCAATAAATTTATCTATATTGAATTTTTATATGAATAAACAAGTTCCACTCCTACTTACAGTCTTAATCATTTGATTTTAGGCTAATTGGTTTTGCAATTTTTTTTGATAATTGGAAAAACTGGGTCTTTAATTTCAATATAAATTGTGTACAGTTTTGTTAAAAAAACTTGCAATTTTAAGGAAATGGACATTCAAAATTTACCCACTTAATTCCTTTCTGGAACTTGGGATATGTCAGGACATACATGTGGAAGAACACCTGACATGCATTGGACAAGTACAAAATTCAAAAGCTGGACCATGTTTGGCATGCTACTCATGAGGATGCAAGATCCTAACCAACTCCTTCACCTTTGCCAAACTGTTCTGCTTCAAGGTCATGAAAAGTGTTTTCAGTTATTCCATTGAAATCATTTAGTCCCAGACAACTGTTTTTTTTTTTTGCCATGGGGCTATAATTACATTTCAGTCATCTTAAAGATCGGCTTTCTGACTGAACATTTTAAGAATAACCTCAAGATACTAAATGTCAAAAGACCTGTCGTATAAGCGCATTCCCTTTGCTATGGATTGTAACAAGGCAGCAGTCGTAGCGTGTGGGGCTTGTGCAAATGTGTGCACTTAACCCACCTGTGCACACATGTCTGATCTCTCTGCTAACCATTATGAACCAATTTACCTTTTGTATTCTCTAGACACCCCAGACATGCAAGCTCACCTCACGGTTACTGCCGCCCTGTTACAGTATTCGTCATCAGACGAGTCACAATCTGACGAGTCCTTAAATGTGTGGAGACATTTGGCTTGACACTTCCCTTGGGCCTCCCTGATCTCCTTGAGACGGTGTGACTGTATTAGGTTTTCCCCACACACAGAGGTTGTTGGATGTGGCTTGCATCTCTCATCCGCAGGAGAGACTCCTGGGTTAATATGCGCGGTTTTGTCTGCTCATTGGGGCAGCCAGCAAATAGGGTTTCATCGCTTTTTATAGTGGGGAGAAATAACTTCTACCCATTGTATTGTCAGGATGTGGCCTGCAGTTTGTTTTCTATGTCTGTTTTCTTCTGAATACCACGTCTGTGCGTGGCAGTTCAAGAGGTAGAACGCTTATCCTGTCTTAGCTCCAGGGGTAGACGGCTGTAGCAGATCAGGGCAAAGCTTTTTGTGTCCCTGCCTGTGGGGGCTAACCGCCGTCCTGCTGTCTTTCCGCGGGCAGGTCCAGATTGCCACGCTGATGCAGATGAAGGGCTGCCAGGCAGACCCAGGGCAGCTGGAGCGCCTGCAGTCCATGCTGGCCCAGAAGAACAACGAAATCGAGGCGCTGATGATCAAGCTGCGTCGCCTGGAGAGGGCAGAGGTGGGGACTGCTCGTCTGAGCTCGGGGGAGAGAGCTGGCCACGGCGGGGAACCTGCAGATGCAGTGCGTCCTGCTGGCATGGCGTTTTCTTGGGAATGTCATTTTTTGCCCTTGGAGAAATGTTTTACTCTCACGTGACAGGCATGACACCTCTGTGATCAGCCACCGTGTTATATCATGAGGACTAAGACAACAAACCGCATACTGTAGAAACATGGAGTTGATGTTCATAAGGTTCTTATATCCTCCTTATCGGTTTGAGTTTCATTTTCAGTTGATATATTGTGTAAGATTATAGATGATTAAATTGTGGCAGTTAAAATCTTAGCTCTGAATAATTTGTACTTGTTTTTCATTTATTCTGAAATGTCATCTATTTTGCTTTTCATAGGTAAGACGGATGTAAGATTTGAGCTAGACGTCAGATTTCGCGAACGCCTTTTTAAGTACTATACTCCCAGATTAATGTGCATGTCCTTAACTCTGTCAACGAAATCCTTTTAATCTATTCACAAAACAAACTCAATTAGACGGAGTAAATCAAAATGTCCCCCACTGTTTGCTCTTTGATCAGGGTGTCCTACAGGGTGGGGTCATGGAGTATAGAATACAGGAGGAGAGAGTGAAAAGTGAGCTTTAATTATTCAATTAAATAATTCAATTTGAACATAAAAGTCCCAGGTCCTGTGATATCAAAGGATGTTTTTGTTTGTGGACGTCTGTATTCATTTGGTAAATTAAAGCAGCTCTTTTGAAATCGTTTCCAGATGACCATAAAGGCTGAGCCATCCAGCGCACCCTCTGGAGAAGGAGATAGCGGTGACATGACGTACTACACTGACCTCCTTAAAATGCAGCTTTCAAACTCCGTGTAAGATGCCCTTTGGTCTCTTCTCTCTATTTAGAATGAGTCTAATATCTTCAAAAGTGTCACAATTATGAAGAAAAGGAGTGATAACCTTCACTATGAAAGCTCACGTTCAGTTTAACCTCAGATCTCATAACTGTAAGAGCTGCCTCTGAACTGGGCATCTTGCAGATTGCATTGGCGCCCCTCTAAAAGCCTTGCCAAGGGCTGAGTGGGGCTCCGGTGTGCTCAGCAGTGCTGTGTGTGCAGGAAGGAAGCCGAGCGGCTGGGGGAGGAGCTGTCTGTGCAGAGGATGAAGGCGCTGGCGGAGAGTCAGAGGGTGCTGGAGGTGGAGAGGAGGCTCTTCAGCAGCGAGAGGACCCTCAGGCTGTGCCAGAGCGAGAACATCAGGCTGCAGGTCCAGCTGGACGAGCTCAGGATGAAATACCAACCCAATGGTAACGCACACGCCCTTTTGTCCCCCACCTCTGCGTTGCTTCCTATCTGAGTGCATAGAGGTCCGAGGCAGGGATGTGTACCTTCATTCTGTGAGTTCCGAACGGGGAACAGGGAAAGGTTTGTTCCCTGCTGGAAGGAAAAAAGAGACACAACGTTTCGGCTATGGCGCCTTCTTCGGGTGTAGTTAAAATCTACACATTTAGACAGAATATCTGAAGTTTGTATATTTGGTGGGGTGTCCAATAAGCTTAGATTCCAATGGCTTAGATTCAATCAATATTCGATCTTTGACGGATCCTTTGTTTGTGTGGCTGCTGCCGTTTAATAGATACGTTTTCAGAAAGCGAGTTAGGTGCCTAAAGCGTAAAGATTGTTTTTTAATGGGTCAACATATAGCTTGCCTAAAAGCCGAGGTCGTGTCTCTGGAATGCAGGACTGCAGATCCTTCCAGTGTTGCCTGCTGCCGGGGGGTGGCTGTGTGAGGGCGCAGGCTCTTGCGCCCAGTCCAGTCTGGACAGAGCTGTTTCTCAGAGCTGGTGCAGCAGGCAGCCCCACATGTAGAGCGAGCGCACATGCCTGACCCACGCTTCCTTCCAGCGGTGAACAAGAGCCAGGTGGCGAAGCGCCGGCGCGAGAAGCTGCCAGTGGACGTCCCGGCCGAGGCCGACGCCCCCGAGCCGAAGGGGGAGGAGCAGAGCGCGGCGGGCGCGAAGGAGGGGCCGGCTCCGGCAGAGCGGCTGGCCCCCGGCCCCCTGCAGCAGGTCCCCGCGCGCATCGGCGAGGAGCCCCCCAGGTCAGTGCCGCCCCCCTGCCGACCTGCCTCCCTCGCCCTGCGCTGCATGAACTTCGCCCTGTGCGTCCTCCTGCTCTTGCTCGGCCTGCTGCGCTCCGCCCTGGCCCGCGCCGGCCTGCCCTTCAGGAGGGCCGTCTCCCGAAACACTTCCCGCTGAGGCCCGGGGGGCCAGCCTTCCTGCCCCGCGGAGGTCCGAGGAAATCTGGGAATCGCCGCAGGGGGCGCTTGCGTCCGCACGTGCTCGGCCTGGGCCTCCCGTCTGGCTGACCTTCGCCGCGACGATCACTGACGCTCAACGAGTGTGGCCACTGTGGAGTCCCTCCGCGCCGCTAGATTTTAACACGCATACCAATTATTACTGGTCGCGGAATCTTTTTAATTCAAGTTTCTACTGCCCAATTCTTCCCAGATCAGGCGCATGGCAGGCTTTGCGTTATTGTAACCACTAGCCAACTGTTACATGCGACGTGCTTTGTGTAGTTAGTAAGCTTTCGCTACAGAACTCAAGCATGTACTCTCGGCATGAGTTTGCTCCTTGGGCGGTAATGATCCAGTACTACAAGCGCATCATTAAAAAAACAGTTCAGTAACAAATGTTTATGAGATAATGTCATTAGCATGATGTATTACAGAACATTGAAGAATACAGATATGAAAACATCTGTTACAATGCTTGGTGTACCAAATACACAAACTCCTTGCACAGTAGAGCTGGATACTAGTGTTGCAAGCTGAGTCCATTTCGGTTAACGATATATAAACATTGCTTCTACATATTGCATCTTCTTGGATGATATTTATGTATTGTAGATGAGGGTGCAAGGATTTCTGTGTAGGTTTTCAGTGCACTTAACTACTGGGCAGAATGGCACTGATGTCAGAATGACTGATTGAAAGTTATCCTTGCAATTTGTAATCTTCTGATCTCTGGGATATGACTGTGATATTTCATGCTAGAGTTTAACTAGTATAACTATGATGACAGTTCACTACAGACTGCCTGGTCTTCTCAATATAATATAACGAGTCAGCTGTCTTAGGATCAAAGCCAGGAATTAACTACGGAGCAACAGCCGTGAGCTTGGTGAGAACGTACTGCCCATGTCAGCGCTGGCCAGTCAGCTCCGCCTCTGCTAGATACAATCACTAAATTATTTTGTGACTAGACTCTCTGTAAAAGGATTTAGTCAGCCAATCAATGTACTGATAAAAACATGAACTGGAAAATGAGCTTCTTCCAGACATTTTAGCGAGTGACTAAAGGGTGTGTTTCGGGGATGGGCCTGTGTGAGAGGGACATGTGCACGTTGTGCAGAAAGCCTGAGTAGTGTGGAAGGGGAAGGGCGCTGGTGGATGGGACGAGGTGGTGTGGGATGTGATGAGACAGACTGAGGGAGAAAAGGGGTTTGGGGACGCGTGGAAGGAAATCACAGCTGAGACTTAATTCATCAGCTGTATTTCCTCAACATGAAGAGGCGTAGTATCGGGGTTCTTGTAGCAAAATAGCTGCTGGTTTCAGCCACCATACATTGAAATTCCTCAGACTTTCTTTAATCACCTGCTCTCACAGCAGTGTCTGCTTCAGGCGCATTCCAGAGCTGTGATCATCCTAATCCTCAGAACTTAGTTTGTTTCAGCACCGGTTTTGTGAGTCATGTGGTATAAATGGACGTGGTAACATGGAATTTATTTTTTATTTTAATGCAATAACACATTATTATTGGCTAATAATGTCCTATTTTGAATGTCTATAGCCTCTGAATAAAAAAAACTGTTTTCTTGGAAACTGACAAAATCTTGGTTTTATGTGAAGAATGTCCTACTCAGCCACAAATCTGTACTGCAAAAAGAGTTCAAGGAGATTGTTCTTAAGTAATATTCAATATCCGTAAAAGGGTTCAAATGTAGCAAAGAAATTATTAACAAAATGTAATATAGCACTTATCGAAGTTCTGCTAAATCAAGGTGCACTAAATTACTAACATGATTTGAGCTGGGAATGATTGTTAAATAAATCTGTTTTTTATCCATTTTTAAAGATCCTTTAGCTGTGCTCACTTTAAGGTTTTTAAAGCTAGACACGAATATTTAGAGGATATCAAGTTGCATAGTTATTGCTGCTGTTTTAAAACAGCCTTTGCTTCAGAACACACTTCTTGTGCTTTCTGCCTTTCAAATACTGCTTCCTGCATTTTCTGCAGTGCTTTAATATTCTTTCTTGTGCTGTGTTGTGTATCAAAGTAGTCTATATGCACTGCACTTGTTACTTGTGCATTTTTACCTTTTGTAATTCAAGCCTGTTTTATGTGTGCTAATGCATGATACTACTGGTATGTCTTAAGGTAGTACATTCTGTTTGTTTCACTTTTAAATGATGCCATTAACTATTTACTGAGTAATTGAGAGTAGAGTGTGTATTTAAGAAATGGAGGCTACCAGCTAGTCAGGCTATATGGAAGCTTACCTGAATTAACTGAACTATGTATAGATATGAAGATTAGTAGTTTCAGGAAAGTTTTAACATACTATACACTTCTGTAGTTTACCGAAAAAACAGATAGGCTTAATTTTTAAGGCTGTCTAAAGTATTTTGCTTAGTATAATATTCTTATTCAAACAGTTATGGCTTTAATTTTTTATATTAGACGTTTTGTCTCGGCTTTATGCTTATGAGTGGCCTTCATGGCGCTGTGAAATATTGCAGTGACACTCAGGCCTTTATGTTAGCCAGTTCTAATATGTAATTAGAATATTTAAGTTAATTAGCCAAGTCACAGGCTTACACACTACACTCAATAGCTCAGTATGGGGTTGGTGAAACTGGTGTAAAAACAGTTTTTCCTGTCTGTGTGACTGACCGCCGGGGCTCAGTGTCTGTGGATGGCCTGCTCTGAGTCGCAGTGCTGCCTGTCTAACGTGCATTGAACTGTGCGCAACGTCTCCGCAAAGCTGAACGCGAATTGGATGGTTTGCCTGTAGGTCTCCCCCATCCGGCACCACTGTCAAGGCAGAGGAGGTGGATGCAGGAGCCGAGAACAGGAGGGAAGAGAGGAAGAAGGAGATGAGGCCTCAGCCTGTCATCCATGTGTCCTCCAAGCCCACCCTGGAGAATCAGTGTGCCCAGCAGTAGGGAGAGGGTCAGCGCTGCTACACAGAGCGCCAGGCACACTCCACCTTGCCTTCCTGCTGGGGTTTTTTTAGAATAAAATGTTTTAGAATAATTCAATAAAACTTTATTCAACTTTTCACAAAATGGTATGTCCTTGTGTTTTTTTTTTATCTGCTTCAGCCACGTGGCTGGGGAGCTTTTCTCAGACTCTTCTGCTACGTTTCAAACGCAGGTCCCTGGCCTTTCGCCCTCCTCTGGTTCACGCCTCGCTGTTTGATCCCGCCGTGCCTTTGAAGGAGTGTGAATACCTGAAATCCACGCAGCCGTCTCTGTTCAAGACCGATGAGATGAGGCTCTTTCACCCTGTGAATGTAGGACATTCCGTTAAGATCGAGTATGAACCTGGTCCCTCTGAGCAGTTAACAGATTTTTTCTTTAAAAAAAAAACCAATGTACAAAGTATTCTGAATGAGGCAGGTCTAGACTGGACCGTTGTGCTCTTTTAACATACAACCCCTTGATTTAACGGACCAAACTGCTCCGAGAAATAGTTCGATTTATACTATAAAGCCTATAAATTATAGGACGGCTTATTCTCCTGTTCAAGTGCATTATAATTCTACAGTTTATACGGGAATCTGGGTAGAGAAATAAGAGTAAATAAATTGTCTTGTACCACTGGCTGGATTAGGGCTGTTAGAAAGTTGATGTAAGAAACAAATGTGCTCTTATAGAATGCGTCACTAACTAGTGTTACATTGTGTGTGTGTTTCCCTGACTGGCGGCACAGGAAAAAAGCGTGTAGGTTTTACCCAATCAGATTGCAAATCGAGCTCTTCCGCTCGGAAGCCGATTGGGCCACATCATTTGAAGACGCGGTGGGCGGGGCTAAGAAGTGCCTCTGGTCAGTGTGCTGATTGTTTTCCGGACGGTGTGTTGAGACTGTGTATCACGGTTTACTGAAAATGCCAGTCCTAATTCTGACAGGCTAGTTGATTTTTTTTAAATAAAATTAATAGGTACAGAACCGGACGCAGAAGAAAGCAGTAAGTCCTAAATAACAAGAAAATAGGAGCTTTACATCACCGCAATTTGTAAAGTCTTCGTTACACCTGGCGCTGCTCTCGAGAGACTTTAAAAGGTAAAAACATTTGTAACACTAAGACAGTGCTTAAAGTACTGACCGGCAGCAGATTTATGATTAGAACTTACTACCTTTGTTGTACAAATTCCAAATTAAGATAACAGTATATCGGATGATTTCAGAACTGATAAGACTCCTTAGAAATATAATTAACAACTGAAGACCAGCTAAATACTTGTGTTGTGTCGGTTTCTTGCGAAATGAAAATGAAATAACTAAACACCTAACTGCTTGACCGTATTTAAAAAATAATGACGAAATGTTTTGAAAGGAAGCTTATATACTGCGAGAACACCTGGGCATACCAGGTTTGCAAACAGCAATGCAATCCCAAGTTTATGTATAGGATGTATATCTTTCATGCAAGGATGACTGTGCGTGGTGATGACGTTACAAACGCGCCCGGGTTACCTTTAACAAAATCCATTATGACAACTGAAAGAGTATTAAACACGCAAATTGAGAGGATCTCCAGTGAGCGTTAGGAACCAATATCGCATTTCAAAATAGTATATATAAAAAAAAACAATTGTCCTGCTCGCTACAGCAAACTGCAGCGTTAACGCTGGCGCTGGGACACTCCGAGTCTCTGCAGTGACGCCGAGGCGCAGCGGCGACTCTGTCCCGGCCGGTACCCGACTCTTGGCCTCGTCTGGGTGTCAGAATGACGGGCTCCGGCGGCTGGAAGACAGCGTTCCTGCTCCTGTCTGTGCTGTGTGCCCACCTCGCCCAGGCTGACAGCGGTCAAGTATGTAAACCGCCCACTGTAGGTGGAGGAAGATGCAAGATGCTGGTTTTAGTGTTCCTACTTACACCTAAGTTATGGACAGAGGCCACCGTTCTATAAATATCTGCAGAGTCCCACTACGGTCACATGAGCAGCTTTGCCATGGAGATAGAGTGAATGTACACACCACCAGGCTCACAACGGAGCAGCCACAAACCCAGGCTAACCTGGGGCCCTGTCCCACAGTTCTGTGTTGCTGCCTTTTCATATAGACGGGGCTCTGTTTAACTGTGATAGGGAAACACGTTTTATAGCTTTGAGATAATGTCCGTTAATGTTGTGGCTGGATCGACTGCTGTGCAGGTTTAGCCGCAGGTGTTCAGCTGCAGAATGTGACTTGTCGCATTCATCTCCGGGTCTCTCTTCCTGGATAAGAGCCCTTGTGTCTCGGCCGAGCTGCGGCTCTGCGATCGGCTCCCAGGCCTGTTTCCCAGCCGGCCTGTTTAACCTCGCTAGGCGCGCTCTGCCCTGACGGTGGTGGACAGCTCTGAGCCCAGCGACGAGGCAGAGGAGGCCCCGGTGGAGGAAGATGTTGACGAGGAAGATCTGGAGGTGTTCCGGCCCACAGACCAGTGGCAGTCCCTGCGGCCAGGTACTGACTTGGTTCTGGGCTCTGCTGCTGAAGCAGGGCTGGTCCTCACTGACCTCAAACCCTGTGTGTGTGGTCCAGGAAGAGGACCTTTTCCTTCTGCGTGCTGTCTGCAGTGTGGTGGCCAGAGGGAAGTGTGTGCTGCCTGTGTTTGTTGACTTCAGAAGCTTGTCTGTTGTTGGGAGAGAAGACTGCCTCTGTGCACCTGACAGCGGCTCTCTGAAAGCCTTGGTAACTTGGAGTTTTGCACCAATCCTACAAAGTATAGGGGGAAAAAAAAACAAGGAGAAATGTAACAGTCCACAGGGAATGGAGTTCTTTGGAAGCAGACTCTTCTGTTTGTGAAATGCAGGCCAGTTCCCACACTGTTTGCTCACGACAGGCCTGTGTGTCTGTGTCCCCAGGCCAGGCAGTTCCTGCAGGCTCTCACGTGCGACTCAACCTGCAGACAGGGCAGAGAGAGGCCAAGGTGGACGACAGCAGTGGGCTCAAGTACTGGACGAATGGTCAGAGGTACCTGCCAGCACTAGCAACTTGATTCATTTGTCCATTTTTTTTCTCTCTGCATTTCTTTTACTATTTTTGTTTTAATGAACGGAGTCTGTATTTCATTCTGCCAGTTTGCTGGTCAGCCTGATTAGAGAACTTTGCTCCACCTCTGCCTGGGGGACATGCCTGCTTTCCCAGAATGCTGTGCTGCTGGCCCATCCTATTCTCTTTGTGCTGTGAGACAGAGCCTTAGGCCTGAGACAGCTTGTTATTGTAATCCCCTCTCCAGGAGGAGATTCTCAGGGCAGTCTCTTGCTGCCAGGCTCCCACACAGCTTGGCCAAATGTGTGCCCCACCCCCTTGGCGGTTTCAAACTCCAGCTGAGTGATGCCAAACCGAGATTTGAATCTGCAACCTGAAAGCTGTTTGGCCCAGCTCTCTTGCACTTCAGTCAAGAGCTCACGATTTTATTCCTTTTTTATGTGAATTTCAATGATTATACAGAGGTGTTGGGGCATCTCAGGGCAAAGTGAAGACATGCTCCATTGTTCCTCATAGGCACAGTCCTTAGAAGCACCTCTTCTCTCCTGTGCCAGGCAGGGCATGGTGAATACAGAGGCCCCATACTTCAGCACCCAGGAGCTCAAGAAAGCTCTGAAGAAGTTTAAGGAGGAGGGAGTGGAGCCCATCGACAAGGAGAGAGAGAAGGTGGGACTCCGAAATGACTGTTTCTCATCATGGCTGCTTTGAAACCAAGCCTTAATCATGCTTGGATGCAAGCAGTTGGTTCCACATTTTGTGAGAGCACATGGAATAGTTAAGATGGCATATGTTCTGAACAGAGCACATGGAGGGGAGAGGATAAATAAACTGAAGGTTTCTCACTTCATCTTGATTTGAAAGAAATGATTGATTGTGTGTGTATGTGTGAGAGAAGGAAGAGGCAGCCGTGCGAGCTCAGTACCGCCCCCTGGAGGAGCTGAAGAGGGACATGGAGCAGATGAACATGATGGTGGAGACGGACTTCCAGGTGATGACCCGTCTGGTGCGCCAGTTCAACCGCTCGGAGGCCACGCTGGAGGAGAGGGTGGCCGCGCTGCTGGACCTGGAGTACCTGGTGCACCAGGTGAGTCCCGGGGGGCCGGGGTACTGGGGGGGCTAGTCTGAGACACCCCAGCACGCGGTCTGATGGCAGTGGGGAGCTCTTGTCCAGGAAGAGGCTGGAACAGATTCAGACGAAAGGAGGCTGTTCAGCCCAATTAGTGCAGTGGGAAGTTAGAAGCTCATCAGTCCCAAGAATCTGAAAGAAACCGGTGCATCGGCTTCAACAGTATGGTTGGATAGCTTGTTCCAGACTCCCACAACATTCTTGAATGTACAGTAGATGCACTTTCACCTAGTTTCCACTCACATCCTCATGTTCGTATTTCCCTGTTCGCTCTGAAGAGGTCTGCTCTCTGGGCTGATGCCAGAGTGGTCTCTTGGTTTTTGATCTGTCTCAGCTCAAGCTGAAGAGGGAGTGTGTTGTCCGATTTCTTCCCCACGATTTCAGGTGGGATAATAAGGGATCCCACTGCACTACAGCTGACCTGTATGGTTGGACTGTAATAATTGTACATCGTGGAACAGTGGAATTAGATGCAAATACACATGGAATCACGAGTTGCATATTCTTGTGGATGACAGTACCCACCAGAGAGCATAGGGGTATCCAAGAAGATATATTTTCTAGCTCTTGTTGCTAGCACTTGCCCATGTACTCATATGTATGAATCCCAAATTGCATTGCTTTATAGTGCACGTTTCAGAAGACACGGTCCTTTCAGTATCCCAGCTGAACTAATAAGCTCCTTACATGCCCATGATCTGTCTACAGCAGCTGTCCCCTGCAGGACGGTAACAGATGTGGTTTAGTGCCACTTAGTTGGATATCTGCTTCGGTTTATGTCAGATTTGTACTCCTGGGGGACACTGCAGAATCTTTCCGGCTGAGCAAACATTCTGCAGCGCGTCCACATCCGTGTAATGGGTTATTGGGATCTTAGTGCCTGCTTATTCACAGTAAAGAGGTTCTAGGATTTTTTTTGGACATGTCCTCCTGGCTGAAGCTGTCCTCCGCCCGGGTCCCCGCAGGTGGACAACGCCCAGGACTTGGTGTCGATGGGCGGGATGCAGCTGGTGATCGACAGCCTGAACAGCTCCGCGCTGCAGCTGCAGGAGAGCGCCGCCTTCGTCCTGGGCTCTGCTGTCTCCAGGTGTGGCCATGAGACCACGATCCCCACAGAACACAGGGAGAGATCGTAGTCGCTAGGAAGCTAAAATAGTTGATTCATTTTTAAACACGGGTATCCGTACTGGTGGAAAGCTCTGAAAATGTCCCTTATGTTTATTTATGCTTTTAAGATCCACCAAACCCACTTAAATCTTTTAGCTCAGGTGTGTGTCCTTTAACCCTGTTCATTCTGATGTGCTGAATTACTTTCTAAGCCCAAGATGATGGTTTTTCTGTGTTGAAAAGCTGTGTGTGTTGGGGGGGGGGGGGGTGAGAATGAGAAGCCCCCACAAGGGTAGGAACAGGAGCTGGTGTGTCTCGGGGGGCTCAGTGCCCATGGGGTTGACCCCTGTGCCGCTCTGTGTTCGCAGTAACCCCAGGGTTCAGGTGGAGGCCGTGGAGGGGGGCGCTCTGCATAAGCTGCTGCTGCTGTTGGCCACTGACCGGCCCCTGTCCGTCAAGAAGAAGGTAAGACACGCCCCCTGCAGGTGGCCTGCTCCCAGCATCCCCTGCAGCCCAGCCTGCGGAGCGACAGGCTGGACTCTGAAGAGTCTGCATTCCTGAGCCCCCTTTCATGTGCTCGGGGAAGAGCTGTGATTTCTATAGAAGGTGTTTATGTCTTGATGAATGACCTCTGCAGTCAGTATCAGCGCTGACAGACTTAATCTTAGACTTAATCATCAGTTTTCTCTCAATTCGTATGCAATCACTTTTTGTTTTTGTGTGAACGTCTTATTGGCTGAAACCACTGTCCCTGTCCTGAGGGTACGAACCAACACCCTGCCGCCATTTTAAAGAGAAATTGCCCCATGGCAGCGCCGTCCCCTCCGGACAGTTTTTGAGGGGCCAGCCCAGCCCGGAGCTCGCTCGGTTCTGTCTGTCCCTGAACGCCGCCGTGCCGTGTGTTCGCAGGCGCTGTTCGCTGTGGCCGCGCTCCTGCGTCACTTCCCCTTCGCCCAGAGGCGCTTCCTGCTGCTGGGGGGCGTGCAGGTGCTGGGCGAGCTGTTCCGGGCGCCGGGGGGCGCGGCCCTGCGCGTGCGGGTCGTCACCCTGCTGTACGACATGATCGTGGAGAAGGTGAGGCGCAGAGCACCCCAACATCCAGATGTGGACCAGGTCCTGGGTGATGCAGGTCAAGGCTGCTGTGGCCCTTCATGGCTCCTCTGTTTCGTGCTTGGTGTTTATTACCTGCTTGTACCTGCATGGCATGTTCCTGAAAAGAAATGTTTACTTTCCGCACCGAAATGGGTCTCGGGACCAGTTTCCAGCCTTGTTTCAGGAAAACCTGTTTGTATGAGCTGAGC